ACTCACACATACACAAGCGACTCATACAACACACATCAACTCACACAACTCACGCTAACACACAGCAACTCACACACTAATTCACACACACAGCAACTCACACTCCAACTCACACACACAACTCACATGCACACAAACACACACACAACTCACATGCCAACTCACACACAACTCACAAGCACACCAACTCACACAGACATATATACGACTCACACCACACTATCACACACACCCTGACACACCCACTGTCACATACATCCTCACGCACACCAACTCCCTCCCATGCACACACCCTCCCTCATACGCAACTCACACACAGACCCAAGCACACATCCTCACCCCCATCTAACACAACCTCACACATACACAACTCACACACAGACCCATGCACACAACCTCACCCCCATCTAACACAACCTCACACATACACAACTCACACATACCAACTCACATGCACACACCCTCACTCCCAACACAACCTCACACACACAACTCACACACACCAAGTCACACACACCCTCACACCAATTCACATGCACACACCCTCCCTCATTACACAACTCACACACAGACCAACTCACATGCACACACCCTCACCCCCATAACACCTCACACATACACAACTCACACACACCAACGCACATGTACACATCCTCACACACATCTACATACATCCCTGCTTACGCTCACCCTCTCTTCCACACACACACTCTCATATGCACACATAAACTTACATACACACCCTCACTCACACACACACCCCTGCTCACAGACACACACACACCCTACCCCCACCAGGCTCAAGGACCCCTCAGGGGGTTGGCCTCAGCGGTCCAAGTGTCCTCGGGGCATTGGCCTGGGGGCAGCAGGGAGGGTGATTTCCCAAATAGCAGCCCCCAGAGCCCAGGTTCTGCCCCAGAGAAGTTCAAGTCCAGACAGCAGAAGGATCTTCCTTGAAGCTGAAGACATGTACATGAGAAGAACCACTTCCCCGAGTGACTCAGCATGCACAGATCTCACACACACTCACACACACTCTCACACACACACACACACACACACACACACACACACACACAGAGGGCTCTCTAGAGAGCTGTCCTCAACCCTCACTTCGGGCCCAGAATTCCAAGGCTCCAGTCCAGCCCCCAACAATCCAAGTCCTACCCATCTATGCAAAGCTCAGGGGTGCCTCTGGCATGTGGGAGCCTCATAGTGCCATGCCCTGTCCCCTCATTCCAGAGGCTTTCCTTGGCTGGGGGGCCGGGGGACAGCAGGGAAGGCCCAGCCTGAACCACAGTAACATGGAAACCCTCAGGGAAATTCACACTCAGTTGCCTGCCTGCCAAGGACAACATTCATACAGGCGCACTGACACACACGTGTGCACGCCGACTCATGTGGACACAGCCCATACTCACCCTGATACGTAGGTACACACTTGTCACAGGCGTTCAAACCAGAGCGACTGCATGTTGAGTGAGGGCTGGGAACAGGAGGCTGGGGCTTGACGGGCTGCCTTCCCCGAAAGTCAGGTATTCCCAGCTTCTAGATGTTTACAGTCAAGGGAACAAATTAATATTGTTTACTACAACAGACCCAGACTTGGGAGTGTCCAGATACCCCATATCTGGAGAACAAAGGCAATCTTAATTTTGCTTTAAAGATAGTAATATTGATTCTTGCAAAATATAGCAATTAAGAAAACTAATCCTTCATCACAAACCCTCGTAGGAGAGCCAATCCTCCATGTACGTGAGCATCGTGCCTGGGGTGGGGGCGTCCTCCTCGTTTGGGAAGGTCCTGCTTTGTCTATGCAGTAGCTGTCCTTTCTTTCTTTTTACTTTCTCTTTTCTTTTCTTTTTTTGAGATGGAGTTTCACTCTGTTGCCCAGGCTGGAGTGCAGTGGCACGATCTCGGCTCACCGCAACCTCCATCTCCCGGGTTCCAGCAATTCTCTTGCCTCAGCCTCCCGAGTAGCTGGGACTACAGGCACGCGCCACCATGCCCAGCTAATTTTGTATTTTTAGTAGAGACGGGGTTTCTCCATATTGGTCAGGCTGGTCCTGAACTCCCAACCTCAGGGGATCCGCCCGCCTCGGCCTCCCAAAGTGCTGGGACTACAGGCGTGAGCCACCGCGCCGGCCAGATTTGTTGATTTGTTGTTGTTGTTGTTTGTTTTTTGGTTTTTTCCTTTTTTTTTTTTTTTGAGACGGAGTCTTGCTCTATTGTGCAGGCTGGAGTGCAGTGGTGCGATCTTGGCCCACTGCAACCTCTGCTTCCCAGGTTCAAGTGATTCTCCTGCCTCGGCCTCCCAAGTAGCTGAGACTACGGCCGGCTAATTATTGTGGGGTTTTTTTTGTATTTTTAGTAGAGACAGGGTTTCACTATATGTTGGTCAGGCTGATCTCAAACTCCTGACCTCAGGTGACCCGCCCATCGGCCTCCCAGAGTTGGGGTGACAGGCGTGAGCACCACGCCTGGCCCCTTGCACCATCTTAGTAAACCGGCTTTTGCTTTGCACTGTGGACTCCTCCTGAATCCTTTCTTGTGCGAAATCCAAGAACCCTCTCTTGGGGGCTGGATCAGAACCCCTCTCCGGTAACACACTAACACATACACACTGCAACTCATTCACACAAGCACGAATACACACTCCCCTACGCCACTGGTGCACACACACCAGCACACTCACAATGACACGACACGCCCAAGTACACACAGACACTGCAGAGTGTAACTCTGGGTCTCCAGTGGGTCTGAACGTCTGCTCCACAGTGGGGCTCTCCTGAGGCTGGAGCCTCCTCTCAGAAATGTTTCTGCCCCCAGCTGCCATGTGACTTAAAATCCTGAGAAATTAGGAAAGATTCCTTTAAAACCAGCACCTCAGATTTTAGGCTTAAGCAGTATTTGGAAAATGCCGGGCTCAGTCCTCCAGCTGGGTGGGCTCCGGGCCTGTGTCTCCCGGCTCATGGGGGCAGGCGGGAGGAGGGAGCCGGCTCGTGGTACGGGGCGAGTCCGGGCAGATTTGGGGCGCACGCAGGTACGCGGACATCCCACCCCTGAGAGCCAGAGAGACAGCAGAGGGCTGTGGCGGGTCAAAGACAGGGCTCTGGAGAGACCCAATCCCCACCCGCTCTCCCTGCAGCCCTCCCCTAGGGACTTCACTCCCGCGAGCCTCAGTTTCCCCATCTGCACAATGGGTGTGACTCCGGGACCCACCTCATGGGCTAATGTGAAACTCAAATGACACCGTGCCGATGAAGTTAGGAGCCCTGGAAGACCAAGAAGAGAAAGTGGGGGTGGCGGCGGGGCTGCGATCGGGGAAAAAATCCACCATCCCCGGCTTCCCGCGTGTAACGGGGCCGAAAATAACCAGCATTTTCCTTTTCTCTGCGGCTGAAGCCCACGCTTCCCAGAGGGCCGGGCCTGCTTATCAGGAGCAGAGCGGCTCGCTCGGCAGTCTCCGCCAGAAGGTGACTGTGGGGGCCCCGCTCCCCTCCAGCCTCCAGCCCGACTCCCACCAGGAAAACACCCGCTCCTCTCCCCCCCCGCCCCCCCCCCCCCCCCGGTTCCCCCCCCCCCCCCCCCCCCCCAAACAATTTTGCATATATTTAAATCTCCTTTGCGAGTTCCCCCTCCCCCGGAAAAAGAGAGAAAGAAATTACAAAGGCCGTCATTTGTCTCCGTCCCCGCACCCCATCTATCAGGGCCCGGAGCCCGTCGCCTCGAATGAGGCGCGCGCCCGGGACGGCCGCTTTAATGGGGCGCCGCGTGTGACCGTGCAGCCGCGCGGCGGGCGCAGCCGGCCGGCATTTGCATACATATTAAACGGAGCAGTAAAAAATGCAGACATGCAAACCATTTGGACGGGCTCCTCGGCGCAGAGCCTGCCAGGAAATCAATCTTCTGGTTTCTTCAAGGCAGCCTGCTCGGGAGGAGGTGGCGGTGCCACACAGCCCGCAGGCCGTGGGAGGGGGCCATCGTCTGTCCATCTGCCTGCAGGAGCGGCCGTGGGGGTTCTTCCCGGCCACGGAGGAGCCACCCACGGGGAGCCAGGGGCCGGGGAGTGAGTGTGGTGGGTCCTGGCTCGGCTGGCTGTGTGCCCTGGAGTGAGAGCCGGCCCCTCTCTGAGCCCCCTTCACTGGGTGCTGAAGATACTTCCTTTCCCTTTTGCCACTCTGGGGCTTAGGGGACTAACCCAAGATCACCGGGCCGGGGCTCTGAGCCAGGTGCAGAGAAGGATGGCCGAGCACCCAGGCTCTGGAGGCAGGTGGCCTGAATTCAGTCAGGCTCCACTCCTCGGGAGCTATGTGATCTTGGGCAAATGCATCAACCTCCCTGTTTCTCGTAAAAGAAAGCTCAATAGGCCTCCCTCCTAGGTATGCTGTTGGATTGAAATAGGTCAGTCTTGTACAGCTCTTGGCTCAGGGCCTGGCAAGTAGTATGTGCTCAATAAATAGCGGCAGAACAGGGAGTAGGAGGGTCCTTGGTGTTATCGGTATGGCCTTCTGGGTGAATATCCCGCTTTACTTCTGCATGGTGTGGCAAGCCACTCCTCCCAGAACCTCCTTACCTGTAAAATGGGGCGTTTTGATTCTCACGGGAAGGGCTAGCTGTGTTCTACAGGGCACTGGGTCGTCTCCCTGGCCCTCCCTGCTGTGCGCTCCCACCCACCCGCTGGTTCCAGCCAGTGTGGCCAAGGTGGCGCCTCTGAGGGCTGCCTACAGCCGGCCTTAGGCAAAGCCCAGAGCAATCTGTGGGTCCAGGAAAAGGCCACTAGCCCTGAACCTCAGGCGAGTGAGACTGGGGCCTCTCTGAATTCCACCGCACAGATGGGGAAACCGAAGCTCGGAGAGGTGTGGCAGAGCCAGGAAGCTCCAAGTTGGTGCCGCTGGGATTCAAGCCGGATGTGCCCAACTGCAAGGCCACCTCCCCAGAGGTCACCGGGAAAGTAAATACTGTGGCAGAGGAAGGAGCTCATCCCATAGTGTCAAGGGACGCAGCTGCCCCCTCAAAGGAGGGGGTGCTTGTGGAGAAAGAACTGAGTTTTGTGTCTGAGCCCAAGTGAATATTTGGTACCCATGAAGGTCCTTCCTTTTTTTTTTGAGACGGAGTTTCGCTTTTGTGGCCCAGGCTAGAGTGCACTGGCACGATCTTGGCTCACTGCCATCTCTGCCTCCCGAGTTCCAGCGATTCTCCTGCCTCAGCCTCCCTAGTAGCTGGGATTACAGGCACGCGCCAGCACGCCCAGCTAATTTTTTGTGTTTTTAGTAGAGACGGGGTTTCACTACGTTGGCCAGGTTGGTCTCGAACTTCTGACCTCAGACAATCCACCTGCCTCGGCCTCCCAAAGCGCTGGGATTACAGGCGTGAGCCACCGCGCCCGGCTCAGTCCTTCCTTGAGAAAACCTGGAGGAAGAGGGGAGAGAGGGCTTCTGAGAACCTGCCCACTTTGGCCTTCATTCATCTACTTTATACTCCCAGAAGCGGGGAACAGAGGTGACCAAGGTCCCCAAGACCCGGCCGCGCAGTGGGCAGTGCTGGGGCGTTAATGGCAGGATGGGGGGTGCGCCTAGACCAGTGGGTGCACTGTCCTCTCTGAGACCCTAGGGATTAGGTGACGAGGCCAAGCCAGGGCGTGGGCAGGGGAGCTCTGTCTTCAGTTGGGAGAGGGTCCCCTGAGGTTCAAAGCTTCCAACTGAGTGGCAGTGTGACCTCTGTGCTGTGTGTGGGAGTTGCAACCTAACTAAAGAGCCCAGACCCAGAGCTGTGGCCCAATTCACTGGTGTCTCGCTGTGTGACCTTGGACAAGGCCTCACTTCTCTGGCTGGGGTGGCTGAGCGGACTGCACCCCTGCTCTGTCTCTTGCGGAGACCCCCTCTTTCATTCCTGCCCTCCAGGCCGCTGTCCCTCCACCTCTCTCTGCAGCCCCGAGTGCAGGCCAGCCCCACGCACTGCCCGGCAGGCAGCCCAGCCAGGGTGGAGGAAGCAGGCAGGGCGGGAAAAGGCGGGAGGGGTCCGAGTTACAGGAACCAGCAGGGCCATTGCTCAACTGGGGAGCCTGGCCGCGGGCCTGCCTCGGCCCCCACCTCCAGCAGCCCGCCCTCCTCCCAGCTCTGCATTGCAAACATTCCTCGCCAATCTCGGGTTGCTACAGCCCCGGAAGGGGGAACTGCAGCAGACACAGCAAGAGGCCGCCAGAAACACTTAACCCCTTCGCTCCTTCCAGGCAGATCTTTCAGGCGGAGGAAGGAGGGAGCTGGGGTGGCGGCTGCTAGAGTCCTTCCCAGGCCCTGGGTGACCAGGTCAGGTGATTTGCTGGCAGGCCTGGCCGGATTACCAACGTAGATCAACAGGTTGTGCGTTCATGACTCACCCAGCAGACATTTCCGGAGCTCCCCTGGGTGCTGGCAGCAGACATGAAAATCCAAGAGTGGCCCCAGCATGGGGGTGGGATGCGGATCTCTTCTGAAGGGTATAACCAAGGAGAAGTGCAGGGTGAGCCTGAGCACAAACTAACGTGGCTCAACTAGTCAGGGAGGGCTTCCTGGAGGAAGTGACTTTTAGGGAGCCCTGTGAGGGCAGAGGGAGAGAGTTCCAGGCAGAGGAGGCAGCAAGTGTAACGCTCTAGAGGGCAGAGAGATGGCACGTTTCAATCTGTTTTTCTGGAGGAGAGGAAGGGGAGGAAAGCCCCCAGGTGGCAGAGCTTGGCCCATGCCAGGTCCCAGAAAGCCTTGAGGCCACTCCCAGCATGGACTGTCATCTGGGGGTAATGAGGAGCTGAGGAAGGGCTTACATGAAGAACGACATGGTCAAGTTTATCTCTAAGCACTAAAAGATGCCTTGAATATAAAACAGAAACTTGGGCCAGGCTCGGTGGCTGACGCCTGTAATCCCAGAACTTTGGGAGGCCAAAGTGGGTGCAGCAGAAGGTCAGGAGTTCGAGACCAGCCTTGTCCACATGGTGAAACCCTGCCTCTACTAAAAATACAAAAATTAGCCGGGCATGGTGGCACGCACCTGTAGTCTCAGCTACTTGGGAGGCTGAATCAGGAGAATTGCTTGAATCCAGGAGGCGGAGGTTGCAGTGAGCTGAGATTGAGCCACTGCACTCCAGCCTGGCGACCGAGCAAGACTCTGTCAGGGAAAAAAAAAAGAAAAAGAACCAGAACCTTAATGGAAAGAGAGGGCACTAACACATTTTCATGTACAAACCAAATGGACTCTAAGACCAGAACACCCAAGCCATGCCAAGGTGCCACCAACAGGACACGTTTCAGATGGCAGCTGGGCGGGGCACTAGGCTCTCCAGCAGCACACGTGGCCACTCTGCCATCCCAGGCCACACAGAATCAGCAGGCTCAGGTTGGCTCTTCCTCCCGGGGTGGGGTCAGCACCTCCCATCTCCCAGACACTGCTCCTGCATACAGCTGGAGCTCAATAAATGCAGCAATTGTCAGAGTGTTTGAAGTTGAGAGGGGCTGAGAGGTCATCGAGGCCCACAACCTCCTTGCTTTTTTCATGTTATTATGTTATTATTTTATTTGTGAAATGGAGTTTCACTCTTGTTGCCCAGGCTGGAGTACAATGGCATGATCTCGGCTCATTGCAACCTCCACCCCCCGGATTCAAGCGATTCTCCCGCCTCAGCCTCTCAAGTAGCTGGGATTATGGGTGCCTGCCACCACGCCCGGCTGATTTTGTATTTTTAATAGTGATGGGGTTTCACCATATTGGTCAGGCTGGTCTCGAACTCCTGATCTCTGGTGATTCACCTGCCCCGGCCTCCCAAAGTTCTGGGATTACAGGCGTGAGCCACCACACCCTGTCTTCACTTTAGATGACGAAACTGAGGCCCAATGGCAGCGATGACCGGCCCAGGCCTTAGTCCCAGGCCTATGCATACTGGTCATGAGCTATGTGATCCAGGCAAGTGATGTCATGGTCCTCATTTTCCCATCTGCAAAATGAAGTGATAACGGTAAACTGCTCCATTTGTGATGAAGACTTAGAGAGAGAATCCCCAGCCCAGGGGGGCCTGGAGTTTACAGCCAAGACACCCACAGAGCATGTCGAGGGGAGCCCAGCGCACCCAGCTGCCCATAACCTTGTTGTCCTCGGATCTCCCTCACCAAAGCCCCCTCCTTTCCCTACCTCTTCTTGGGCCCGTTCTCTCTACACCTGGTCTTTTTGTTGGGACAGCAAATACATTCAGGGTTCCTCTAAGTCCTGCTCAGCCTGGTAAGATTTCCGAGGGGAAACATGCCCAGAATCCTCCCTGTTGAAAATCATGCCCCAACAGGACAGGAAGGGGCGGGGCAGGCTCCAGGCCTCCACATGCCCCAGCAGAAGAAGGGGCCGAGTTCCTCCTAGCCTCCTTGGGGATCATCCCTGTGGGCAGCCCCAGACGTCACCACGGTCTGTTTTGTGAGGGTCCCCTGGGTGTCACTGGACCCTTCCAGGCAGCAGAATTTCTAGAAAGGTTCTTTCTACCTGGGGCACCACCACCTTGGTGACCCGCCACCAACTCTGCCATGTGAAACATCTTACAGCCCTCATGCTGAGCCAAGGATTCACTCTCCAAATCCTCATCACAAGTGGTGAAGTTGGCTGTCATTGTCCCATTTTGCAGATGGAAAACTGAGGTCCGTGGAGTCACTTGCCAGGATCACACAGCTCATAAGCAGTATGGGTAGGCCTGGGACACAGGCGTTTTGGGGCTCACCACCAGGTGTTCAGGTGTCACCCCTAGGCCTCCCAGCCAGGGATCCCTGCCACTGCCCCGGCCTGGAAACATGACACTTCTCCCCCAGCAAGGAGGTTCCAGCCAAACCAGGGATTCCCCATGCTCACCCTGACCCTCGTCTTGTTAACGTACTTAAACCTCTATCTGTACATGAAATAAATATGTCATCTCATCTATTTATCATTTGTTTATCACGGGCATTTATCCATCCTAAGTTTCCTCTCTGCTCAAATCTTCTCCACATGGGTTCACTCAGGTTACGGATCTTGTCTCAACTTTCACAAGGCACAGCCCCGTGTGTGCTGCAGCCAACATCACAGAAAAAATCTCACTTCATTCGTGTCATAGGGATGAGTGGCCTGACTCGAAAATCTTAATGGAACCTGCTGTGTGGGGCCAGGGGTAGCACAGCACCCTGAGGCCCGCTGGGTATTATCACCACCATTGTTCACCAGGGCTCCATGCGGCTGATAAATTCCTGGTGTCTTCCTCTTCTCTTCATATCACAGGTTAACAGGTTCACCTCCCGACGTTGCTCATGTCTACACAATGGTAAGAAAAAAGCAACTGTGAGAATGAGGCAAGTTGTCTGTCCTCGGACTGAAGCGCTGGTTGCTAGGGCAGTTGGCCTCCAAGACGGTCTCCAAATGATCCCCGCCTCCTGGCACGCACACCTTTCCACAGTGAATCAGGCTGGCCTGCATAACCAATCGGGTATGACTGCATGTGCTGTCCAAGGCTAGGTCATAAAAGGTACTGCAGCTTCAGTCTCACTCTCTTGCGTCACTCACTCTGAGAAGCCAGCCGCCATATTGTGGGGAAACCCAAGCAGCCTGATGAAGTCCGCATGGCATGGAGCTGAAGCCTTTTTGTCGGCTACGTGAATGAGCTATTTAGGAAAGAGATCTCTGTCTTCAGTCAAGCCTTCAGATGACTGCAGCCCCAGCTGACGTCTTGATGGCAACCGTAAGAGAGACCAGCCAGCTAAGTAAGCCACCTCTGAATTCCAGACCCACAGAAGCTGAGATAGTACAACGCCTGTTTTGAGACACTAACTTTGGGATAGTGTGTACTCCGCGGTGTGTAACTAAAAAGAAACAGAGAGACCTTTTAGTTACAAGAGCCCTCCAGGGACTCTGTTCCCAAAATGTGTTCCTTGGAATGCCGATCCCAGGCTTTGTTCTGGAAAACCAAGGTCAGTTGAATGGAGGCAGACGGTGGATTCTAGTCTCCTCTTCAAGATTCCCATCCTCCTTGGCATTTTAAAGTCGACTCCTCCAGACGAGGAAGCTGTTCTCTTAATGTAGCACTTCTCAGGGACCTCTGACTGTGGAACTCTGGTGTCAGAGCCTCAGAGCACACTTTGGGACACACAGCCAAACTTTCATCGCA